CCTGGAAGCGGCTTGCAGTAGACAAGAAAGTGGTAACTCGCGGGTTTGCAGAGAATTCGCCCCTGCACAGCTTTTCAAAGGCCTGCACACATGGTTTACTGTCAGTGAGCACACATGCCTTGCCTTCTGTGATGACTGAATAATGTATGGGCTGCAATGTTTGAGGGAAGCAGCTATGGCCAGGGCCTCAATCTCGCACGAAAGCCAATTAATCAGATTTTTACGAAGTTTAACGCTAAAATATCCAGCGATCAGCAGCTTTTCCCCCCGTGTAACATACATTGTCGCGCCTAACCCTGGATCCCTGAGAGCACCATCAGTGACAATCCAAAGCTGATCATCAGGTCGCGGTATCGTCACAGCGTAACTGGTGGATAATGGCTGCTGAGCCTTATGAAAACACTGGAGAAGCTCATTTGACCACACAATCGCAGCCGTTGACTCATCACCAGCGACAACATTGTCGAAGGGAGCAAGGATCGCCACACAACCCTTAAGAACACGTGCCAGGACTTTATACGCACTAATGAAGGACTGTAGGCCACGAACAGTCACAGGGGGGGCACATGAAGCCAATGTTGCAATACGGTGTGAACTAGCGCGAATAGTACCCTGATTCCACACCCACTCCAATATATCGGTCTGGACCGGGGCAACGACAGTTTTAATGGGAGCTAAGCACAGATTTCATGCCTGGAGAGCCACTAAGACCTTTTTCCACACTGCAAGAAGGCCTTCAAGAGTGTCAGCCCCACAATACAGGTCATCAGCAACCTTAGCTACCTGTCCCTATTGAAGGAGATCGCCAAATACCCGACAGGTCAGTTCCTCTAACGCAGTTTCTGAACCAGGCATGCCCAGACATCTGGCATACACACGGACTCCCTTAAATGGTGTGACGACCCCGCAATACTTCATAGAGGCTTTGGACAGCGGAATTTGGTAGAACGCCTTGGTGAGGTCAGTGGCGATAATATATTTCCACTGAGCAATCTGACGCAACGTTGCGTCCACATTTGGCATAATACCATTGGGGTCTAATGAGATAAGGTCAGAGAATAGTGTTAAATTTGGCGAACTGGACTTGCAAACAGGGGCCTGAGGAGTTTCCACTGGGGCTTGTTCACGTAGGGACCCCAGTACGTAGGTCATGCGAACACGGCATACATGGTCATGTTTCTTAATTCCCTGCGGTATGTCAGTCAAATTGGGAATCCAGATTTTTCCGGATACCCCTCCGACCAACGATGGAGCAAACCAGTGTGCACGGCCCTCATGCGGCTCAACGGCAAGCTTGTCGCTAAAGTTAGCTGGTTCTGCTGGAAGCTCAAGTTCGACATAATCCCCCGGCCATACAGTATGTGATGACGTGGCACGAAGTTCGTGTGCTCGCCGAATGGCATGTCTGTCTCCATACGTTTGACTGGCACCATACTCGTATGTGTCAGACCACACACAGACCTGGTGTCGAGCAGGGCGGATGGAGATGTCATTACATTCCATAAAGGGGATGCCAGCGACAATGTCAGAATCCAGGTTTTCTACCACAAGTCCATCGAAAAAGAGCAGAGAGTGGCCATCTCTCTGAAAGTATGTGCGTATCTCCCCCACTACCTTCAATGGTGAGGAGCCATCTGCCTGACGAGCTGACTGCGTACTACTGGAGACTTTAAGGCCCGTCTGCTGGCACATGCTGCCCTTATCATGTTTCCTGTTGCACCACTGTCAATGGTCAGCCTAATGGGGGTGTGGCCATGGAAAGCTTTGATGCATAGTGACTGCATGATATGCACTCGCTGTACCGCCTTACGGTTGGATGCACTGTCCTCGTTGTCATCCTCAGACTCGCCGTCAGAGTGACTCAGTGAGGCAGCAACTTGCTGCGCCTTTGCAATGAAAGCTCTGTCAGGAGGGGGCAGAAAGGGGCACTTACTGAGAAAGTGATTGTCAGGTTCTGCGAGCCTCTTTACAAAGTGGGCAGGATTTCTTTAGTCGACCCAGTGAGGCCAGCTTCTGTCTTGGAGGGTTAGACACAGCCAAGCGCATAGCTCTAACATCCTCTGATGATTGCAGTTCGTCTAGTAATGAGCACAGGGCTTGAGATATCTCTGGTTTAATAGACACCAAAGTGCGTGAACGTAACTCCGTGCCATACCTCTGCTTTACAAGCTTCGGCAACTCACCGTGTATAAGACAAAGCCAAGTGAGAACAACAAAGTTTTCTATCGTGGGGGAGAGCTCCTCATCCGCCGCAATGGGTTCACCTCCGTGAGTAATGCCAGAGTCTCTGCGTAGTAAATTATCCTCAACAAAAGCCATTAATCTCTGGTACAAATCCTCTGGTCCTTCATTAGACTCTAGTTTAATAGCAGAAAAATCAATAAAATGTGCACCGGTCGACTGGAATCCATAATGTGATTGTCTGCCATATGCTATCAATGCATGTAGAGCTCTTAACAACAGTATTTTGGGAAATAACTGGGCAGTAGTTAGCGATCTGCCCCAGCATGAGATCAAGCATGCTGACCTTTTGTTGGCGCGTGCGCCGTCGCGCGGCGGGAACATCTGCGGCATCATCACTGAAACCTCTGAGGTCCAGTGTGCTGGTCCTGGGTGAGCAGCTGGCAGAAGTCAACTGGTGGAGAATATGGGTCATTTTTATACTAAAAAAATCCAATAATGTGTTACACTGTCTAAGTTACAGGCTTAAGTAGATTATTAATAGTGGTAAAAAAACATTCAGTGTTATTTTCATTGATACTGATAATGTCAGAATAAAAAGAGGATTTAGCAGCAGTCATGCCACTTTTATATGAAAGAAGATAATCAGTAAACATTTGTTGAATGGTTGACCGTTTTTTTTTGATAGTCTCTCCAATCGTTGACACATCAATGTTGGAGTTCGGGGGTGTACCTTGGAAAAGACTGAGTGAAGGAGACTGTACGTTTTCACGGGAGCTCAGGCGTTTAGTGAATGGGATAAGCAGTCAGTGATCCACCAGGTTAGCAGTACAGACTGAATGTAGGACAAACAGAGGTATATTATGGTCATCTGGGTTAATGTTTTTAATATTACGGAGTGATATGGAGTTCTTCAAGTTTAAATTTGGGTGTGGGAGAATGATATCAAAGAAACCCTAACCTCTTGAGACCCGCGACTGCCCTGGATCCTCTTCAGTTTGTTGATCAGTGTATTTGAGAATACACTTTTTTAATACCATCAGGCCACCCATCCTGAGATAAGTGGTGCAGGGGTTGACCCTTCCTTTATAACCGGGATGAGTGAGCCACCGTTGCTCACGCTGGTAACGGTGTGTCACAGCGTCACCCAAGTCTCCGGGGGTCACAACACCGACATCGGTCATGTGACCCCCGGAGACTCAGGTGAAGCTGTGCAGTTTCTCCGTCGGTCATGGGACCTCCGGAGACTCGGGTGACGCTGTGCAGTTTCTCTGTCAGACTTTTCTTCAAAAGGGATCGTGGACTGAAAACAATAACCTCAGTTTTGTCATTATTTCATTTTAGGTTGCAATGTGACCAGAATTTAATGTCCACAATACAGGTATTTAATAAATCCTGAGGAAGAACGAGCTGAGATCTGCAAGTCCTCGGCATAATCAAGATAGCTGAGACTATGACTACAGATAATGTCTACGGGACTTATTCATTTGATCAGGCTTTAGCCATTTGATTGGGTCAGATTAAAGGTGCCATCTGGCACATAAAATCAAATCATATTCCGTATTCCATAACAGATGGGGGCAGTATACCTCCAGAAAGTGAGTAGTGCCGCGGCCGCGCGCACTCTCACGTCTTCAAACAACACAAGCGAGCGCTGTTTTGCTCTCTCTCTCGCGCGCATATTATTCAAATCATTTGACATGATAGAAAAAGGTTGGAAGACCGCAGTTTCACCTGGAGCATTTGGAGATTTTTAGAGATCAGAGACTCAATGAACAACATCTCAACACTAAATGATGAAGACCGTCTCATAGACGCCTGTCTCAAAAACAAGCTGGTGCATTTCGACGATATGGGAAAATAAAAGCCTGGGCTATTATTTGAAGTTTACGGTATTCGTTTTGTTCATATTACACTTTCATTGTTAGTTTGGATTAATTTGACAGACAGCATTCGCTGATGTTGATCAAGCTAGCGCCATTCAAAGCTGCCAACTCTCACAAATTCAGCGTGAGACACACGCAATTGACACTTAGCAAGCAGGTTAGTTAAGCTCTCAGATTCTGTCAATTTTATTACGCAATTAAAACAATAAATACCGCTTTGGCGCTTGTACATGTTACACCACAGATCCCTAACGCACGTTAACCGATCATCTCTACTAGCTAATGGAAAAAGAACATGAACACTGTTGAAAGATGCTACAACTTAACAAAATGTATTCCTCATGCATAATGTCGACCAATCATTTTTTGAACACTTCCCTGAACTGAAATGTAGTAGTGGGCTGTATTTCCACACGACTGACATCAGGTTCAAGTATACACACAAGCCGCGCGAGTTACTCGTCTATTGCAGTTTGGCTGGTGGTTATGTTGCCCGCCCACATACCGCCTCCCATGGCCGAAACTGGTATTACGACACCTGCCGGGCTGGCGCTAGTAATTTAGCATGCTAATTTAGGTTTATATCTCGGCAGCACTATAACTTGTCAGTTTTTTTAATGACATCATTGCACTTATTTCATCTCATTCTTTTGATGCGTGTAGCTCATTTCTTTAATATTTTTACCTCAATTATTGCATACGGCACCTTTAATGCAATTGATTTCATTGTGCAATTCATATTGGTGTCATGCTGTGTTGGCATTGTGTGTTTTTAATGTTATCTCTGTACATCACTCTGGTCCATTCTTATGGTTTGAAAGTGCTTTATAAATTAAGTAAATTCCACCCTTTTCAAAATAAACCTATAAATTGTCCATTTTGTTACTTCAGTAAAGCAAGACAATGCTTTTCACAATTCAATTCAACACTTTCTAACAAGACACTATTATGTTTAATTGAGATTTATTGCTGCAAACCACATGTATAAAACTGATGTATTGGAGGAAAAAAAATAAGCATCCATTAATTTTCAAAACCAGAGAACTGATGCGTTTATAATGTTACATCACACAGTACATTCATGGATTACGATAAGAGCAAAGCTGAAGCACATGTGAGGAACAGACCGCTATTTGCAAAGATTCGGGAACGAAACAGAATAAGATATGAGGAAATAAGGACACGAGACTCAGGGACTCATGGGAAACTATCATCATCATCTTCTGCCATCTCTTTAGCGAACTCCAGATCCTGCTGTTCCCGCTCTCTTCTCTCCTGTCAACACATGCAGAAAAGCTGTCAACAAGCCGTTTCAGCAGAGCTTCAGTGTGTGTGTGTGTGTGTGTGTGTGTGTGTGTGTGTGCGTGCGTGCGTCTCTCACCTCAGCCGACTCCAGGTCCTTGTTGTACGCCTTCGGTGGAAATCTCATGGCCTGCACAGAAACGTGGATAATGTTAGCAGAACCCCAGAGCGAACTAGCAGATCTCAGGCGTTTCAGAGAGGCTCTGAATTATGAGTGACTCCCACATTACATTCATTTGGACACACACACATACAAATTTTTGACGTTCAAGTATATCAAATTAATAAATCAACATTTAGAACATGAATGTTATAAAAGGGCCTTTACAGGGCTTGAGCCTCAGCAATGCGTGGAAATTCAGAAAAGTTACACTTGAGAAAGTGTCAGAAAAAAACATTATTGATACGATTCACCAACATGCTTAAGATATTTTCAGAAACTCATTACTAATAATATAAATATGATATACTACAAGGCTGGACCCGGAGATTCGTTCGGTGGGTTGGTTTTCGATTTGAAAATGTGACATTTGAATATTATTTTTTTGTTGTTTTTTGCACTCCTGGCATCGAAGCAGTTCTCATTCGTGCTTGAATATGTTTTACATTATAAAATCTGGTGAAATATAATACTTAACATAACTTATAGCTACTTAATATATTTGCTGCTTCTTGGACTACTAAAAGTGTTCCTGCAACAGGAGTATTCTCCGGCTAGAGTATAGCGGAGTGTATGTGGACAGAAGTGCCTGAGCTTGTGTTTTGGGTTAAGCTGCGTTGCTTTGAGATTGTGGAAAAAAGAATAATAGAAACAAAATGCATCCTTTTTACCAGTTATTACCAATCTAAATTAATCTACTGTGAAATATAGGAGACTTTGAAATTTTACTGGGACGTCACAATTTTTTTTTTTTTTTTTTTTTTTTTTTTTCTTTTCTTTTCACCCCAAAAAAATTACATTCGTCGTATTGATCCAAACCTGTATGACAGTCTTATGTGAAACACAAAAAGAGATGCTTTTGAATCTTATGGACTTTCGGTCTCAAATATCATTCACTTTCATTGTGTGATATTGTATGCAGTGTTGGAGAAAGAAGCTGATGTACTCTAACATTCTGTTGGCAGGACTGTCTTCTTTGAGGGATTTGTTTTTTAGGTAGTGAATGAATCTATAGCCTACTGCAGTGTGGTTCATATTATACCAGTCTACCATTTAGATCCCTTTACAATTAAACCAGTTTCGATTACTTTTGACTCTAACAAACTTTATTACCAATATTTTGTTATTTTATATTTTATTATCCCTCTGATGCACATCTCATTAAATATTATTCAGGAATGATGTCTCTTAGTAATAAAATAGCATTACTACTGAATCGCTACATTATATTTCTCAGCAACTTGTCTTGTTTTCAGTTTGTGTGTGTGTGGACTTCTGTTTGTATCTTTTGATCAGATCCTGTGTTCATTTGTTCTATTTCCCGCCACTCCTTTGTTTCTATGGTTACTGTTATTATGACTTCATTTGTCCCAGTTGTGTCTGATTACTTATCTCTATTTAAGATGCACCCTTGCTTTCAGTCTTTGTTGGGTCTTTGTTGCGTTAATGTGTGTTTTCTGTCAGCTTGTTCCAGAAAGTTATAAGTAAAGTTGGAATTTGTATTTTTAAAGAGTGTTGAGTCTGTTCCTGAGAGAACCACAATGTGACAAGACTTTTTTTTTTAAAGTAATTATTTTTTTTTTTTTATTATTATTTTTTTTTATTTATTTTTTTTTTTTTATTATTTTCTGAGATGAAGGAAGAACATGCCCAGATAAGATAAAAACTTACACAACGATGGATTTTAGTAAGTGCAGGGCTTAATGCTTTTTTTTTTTTAATTTGGAAAATTTAGGAGCATATCAAGAACTTTACGGGCGCAAGTATTTTCCTTGAAGGAGTAGTTCACTTTTACCTTGACATCCAAGATGTCCATGTCTTTTTTTCTTTTTTTTCTTTTTTTTTTTTGTTTTTTTTTTTGTTGTTTTTCCAAACAGTTTAATTAGTTTCTTTTTAAACTGCATTACAGTAGCCTCATGTAACATCAGTTATTCTCTTTACACCAACACAACGTGATTACACCCAAAATGGCAACAACTACAGCAATGCCTGTGGAGCGACACTGACACAAATACTGTCAAAAGAAACTAACACGCACACACAGACGTCTACAGAGACGAACGCGTCTCGTAGGTGGGAACAGGAATGCTTAGGCGTGTCAACTATGGCTTCAGCTATGAATTGAGTGTGTTGAAAAGAAGGAATGGTAGGGGCCTTTCTGCTGTCGCAAAACTTGGGGAGTTACTCTTTGGAGTGCATGTACACTAACAGGTCAGCAACACGGTGGCTGTAGCCATATTCATTGTCATACCAGGAGATAAGTTTGACAAAGTTGTCATTGAGGGAGATGCCAGCACCAGCATCAAAGATTGAAGAGTGAGTGTCACCAATGAAGTCAGCAGAAACAACTGAATCCTCTGTGTATCCCAGAATTCCCTTCATTGGTCCATGAGCGGCCTTCTTGACAGACTCCTTGATTGCAGCGTAGCTGGCGGGCCTTGTGAGGCGGCAGGTGAGGTCAACAACGGACACATCGGCGACTGGCACACGGAACGCCATGCCGGTCAGTTTGCCGTTAAGCTCAGGAATGACTTTGCCCACAGCCTTGGCAGCGCCAGTAGAAGCAGGGATGATGTTCTGGTGGGCACCACGCCCATCCACAGTCTTCTGTGTGGCGGTGTAGGCATGGACTGTGGTTTGGTTGCTTGCTTTGTTGGTTGGTTGGTTGGTGGGTTGCTTTATTGGTTGCTTGCTTGGTTGGTTGCTTTGTTGGTTGCTTGCTTGGTTGGTTGATTGGTTGGTTGGTTGCTTGCTTGCTTGGTTGGTTGCTTGGTTGGTTGGTTGGTTGGTTGGTTGCTTTATTGGTTGGTTGGTTGGTTGGTTGCTTGGTTGGTTGGTTGCTTTGTTGGTTGCTTTCTTGGTTGGTTGGTTGGTTATTGGTTGCTTGCTTGCTTGGTTGGTTGGTTGCTTTGTTGGTTGGTTGGTTGGTTGGTTGGTTATTGGTTGCTTGCTTGGTTGCTTTGTTGGTTGCTTGGTTGGTTGGTTGGTTGGTTGCTTGGTTGCTTAGTTGGTTGGTTGCTTTATAGGTTGCTTGCTTGGTTGCTTGCTTTGTTGGTTGGTTGGTTGGTTGGTTGCTTTATTGGTTGCTTGCTTGGTTGGTTGCTTTGTTGGTTGCATGCTTGGTTGGTTGGTTGCTTGGTTGGTTGGTTGCTTTATTGGTTGGTTGGTTGGTTGGTTGCTTGGTTGGTTGGTTCCTTTGTTGGTTGCTTGATTGGTTGGTTGGATGCTTGGTTGGTTGGTTGATTGGTTGGTTGCTTTGTTGGTTGCTTGCTTGGTTGGTTGGATGCTTGGTTGGTTGGTTGCTTGGTTGGTTGGTTGGTTGGTTGCTTGCTTGGTTAGTTGGATGCTTGGTTGGTTGGTTGGATACTTGGTTGGTTGGTTGGTTGGTTGGTTGGATGCTTGGTTGGTTGGTTGCTTGGTTGGTTGGTTGGTTGGCTGGGTGGTTGCTTGCTTGGTTGGTAAATTAATTTTTTGTTAATGTTGTCTTTGATTATGATATTTTTTAGCTCCATTTAGTGTAATAAGCTACAGAAAGGGGTTTCTTTCTTCTTTTTTTTTTTTTTTTTTTTTTTTCCTAGGCTGGTTGTTGAATGCCACGTCGGTCCACAGATTGAGAGCTGGTTAAGGTTGAATATTGAATACCAGACTGGTCCACAGAGTGTGATCTGACTTAGGCTGGTTATTGAATGAATGCCAGGCTGGTCTACCTATTATGGATTGACTTAGGCTGGTTGTTGGATGCCAGATTGGTCCACAAACTGTGTTCTGACAGTAGCTAACAGCAGGCTATCTGACAGTTCAACAGACTGTGTGCTGACTTGCGCTGGCTTTAAGATGCCAGGCTTTTGGCTTTAAGATGCCAGATTGTGAGCTGGCCTAGGCTGGATACTGGATGTTCTAACCGGACCACAGGCTGTGAGCTTGCTTAGGCTAGTTGTTGGGTAACAGATTGGCCCATAGACTGTAAGATGGCTTGGGCTAGTAGTTGTAAGCCACTCGACCAGTCCATAACCTGGTAACGGACTTGTGCTAATTGTGGACTGCTGGGCACAGACTGGTCAGTTGCTTGTACTAACTGCATACTACTGGGCAAGAGCACAAACTGCTTGACGTCACAATTTAGATTTTCTTCATTTAAATTTCGTTTTTATTTAAATCTACCTACTTTGTCAGTGAGAAAAATATTATAAAACTAAACCTTTTCAAAAATATTGCCTAAGTTAAATGACCTGTTTGTGTGTTTTATATCACTAGTGCAGTGTCCGTTCTCAGAGCATAAGCCCTGCTCGCGTGAGGTGCGCCGCTTCCCGCTCGCTCTGTTCTGTGGTTTATTAAAAGTTTATTCATTCTGAACGTGTCGCGTCTCGTCTGTCTATCTATTTTGCACCAAATGCTAGCACTCTCCCTTGTGAAATCGTTTGGATGCACGGTTCTCGAGATTGTCAAAATGCAAACGGACAGACATAGAGAGATTCCAAAGCTTTGAATATTCGATATTCATTACTACTGAAGCTTCGAAGCTCAAAAAACGGTATTCGGACCAACCCTAATATAAATATATAACAACAATTATTTGTGACTGATAGCTGTGGGAGAAGCTCACGCAGCGCTGAGATTACAGGCCAGGGGTGTCAAACTCAAATACACAGTGGGCTGAGATTAAAAAATTGCTATAAGTCAAAGGCCGGAGAGGTTAAACATTTATTGAAAACTTATTGAAACAACTTATTATTATTATGAACCTGAAACCAACAAGCCTTAATATTATTGCCTATAAAACAACATTAATTAGTAAATAAAAGAAATAAAATTAATTAAAGCTGCAAGCAGCGATGGGCGGGCCCTCGCACCTGTAGCGAGTTGGGGTGCAATGCGGCCGCGTTGCATATTCTGCGGCTCAGCCGGTGCGGCTGTGAATTTGGTTCGCTGCTTCGTTAAAGGTCACTTCCTGTTGCCAGCAGGTGGCATTA